GACGCGGGGCTCGAACTCACGGACCACGAGATCGTGACCTGGCTGAAGTCGGATGCTTAACCGACTGCGCCACCCAGGCGCCCCTTTAATTTTTTTTTTAATGTTTATTTATTTTTGAGACAGAGAGAGACAGAGCATGAACAGGGGAGGGGCAGAGAGAGAGGGAGACACAGAATCCGAATCGGGCTCCAGGCTCTGAGCTGTCAGCACAGAGCCCGACGTGGGGCTCGAACTCACAGATCGTGAGATCATGACCTGAGCAGAAGTTGGACGCTTAACCGACTGAGTCACCCAGGCGCCCCTGTTCTCAGTTTTTAAGAGTCTCTTATGGGGGCGCCTGGGTGGCGCAGTCGGTTAAGCATCCGACTTCAGCCAGGTCACGATCTCGCGGTCCGTGAGTTCGAGCCCCGCGTCGGGCTCTGGGCTGATGGCTCAGAGCCTAGAGCCTGTTTCCGATTCTGTGTCTCCCTCTCTCTCTGCCCCTCCCCCGTTCATGCTCTGTCTCTTTCTTTCTCAAAAATAAATAAACGTTAAAAAATTAAAAAAAAAAAGTGAGTAAAAGGGATAGTGAACTTGGGGTCTTATGACAGTGGGTGTGCCTCCACCCCACTCTTTCCTTTCCCACCCGTTGGAATCCACAGCATCCTAGACTCAAGCGTCAGACAATGACAAGGACAAGGAGATACCAGAACTGCATGGCAGAAGAAATCTGGGTCCCTAAGTGATGGAATGGGACAGAGCCAGGAATGCTCATCTTAGGCTGATAAGAAACAGAGAAATAAACATCTACCTTCTAGAAGCCTCTAAAGCCTCCTTACCATTTCAGTGTTTTTATTACAGCAGCCTAACCTTAACCTTGACCAACCATAACCCCTGAATTCCGCAACGATTGAAAAGTGAAACAAAAGAACGTGGCCTATGGAAGCCGCAATACCACCTTTATTATTGATAGAGCTGATGTTAGTTCTATCTGCTGGCAAGTGGGCTTTGTCAGGCCGATTAACAAGTTGGAGACAAGTTTACCGTCCCAGGCACAGGGAGCTGGACCTTCTTCCCAGGACTTTCCTGCTTCTTTGCTTTTCCATGCACTTACCATGATGACAGCGTGTGCTTCCCAGCCTGGCAGCCTGATTCCATGAGGCATCGGAGATGAAGGGGTGGGCTTGTGCACGTGCACATTCCTTTCCCCTCAAATCATCCCGTCAGCTACTCCCCCCCTACCCCCCCCACCCCCCCGCCGCCCCACCTCAAGGAGAATTACCTCAGGGATGCCTATAAGAAGGAAATATCAGGAATGGGGAAAAAATATCCCCGACCTCTGCCCCATAGACAATCATCTTTTATGATGCTTCAAAAACTTTTGGTAGATTTTCACACCATTCCAGATTTAAAAACTAAATTACACTAAACTTAGGTATGGAAGAGAAGCAAGCTTGCTTAACCTATGCGTACGGACCCTACAGAAAACAGAAATTGGGGCCCTTCAGCATCGCACCGCAGATAGTCGCTAATACAGCACGATGGGAAAATAAATCGGCCGTAAATGTTCAGCGATCAAGTTGATGTTTATAGTTTTCAGACTGGGGCGCCTGGCTGGCTCAACCAGTGTAGCCCACGGCTTAACTTTGGGGTCATGAGTTTAAGCTGCATGTTGCATGTTGGGCTTTGAGTTTACATAAAAAAAAACCAGGGGCGCCTGGGTGGCTGGTGAAGCGTCCGACTTCAGCTCAGGTCATGATCTCAGAGTTGGTGAGATCGAGCCCCGAGTGGGGTTCTGTGCTGATAGAGCCTGCTTGGGATTCTCTCTCTTCTCTCTTTCCCTCTCTCTCTCTCAAAATAAGTAAAATAAAATAGTGTAAATTAGGAATATGAATTATGTAAATAATACTAATTTGTAAAACAACAGCTGTGTGAGACTTTAGGACAAGAGTGTTCCAGTCTGAAAACCATGCTTTTTTTTTAAATTAGTTTTTTCTAATTTTTTAAAAGTTTATTTATTTATTTTGAGAGAGAGACAGCGTGAGTAGGGGAGGGACAGAGAGAGAGGGAGAAAGAGAGGGAGAGAGAATCTCAAGCAGGCTCCATACCATCAGTGCACAGCCGATGTGGGGTTGAACTTTGAAAACCAGGAGGTCATGACCTGAGCTGAAACTTACAAAACCACGAGGTCATGACGTGAAACTGAGAGTCTGACGCTTGACTAAACCACCCAGGCGCACCCCTTTAATTTTTTTAAATGTTTAATTTTGAGGGAGAGAGAGAGAGAGAGGAGAGCGAGAGCGAGCATGAGTGGGGGAGGGGCAGAGAGAGGGAGACACAGAATCTGAATCAGGCTCCAGGCTCCGAGCTGTCAGCACAGAGCCTGACACGGGGCTCGAACTCAGGAACCATGAGATCCTGACCTGAGCGGAAGTCAGACGTTTAACCCACTGAGCCACCCAGGTGCCCCTAAACAGACTCTTAACTATAGAGAACAAACTGATGGTTACCAGAGGGGAGGTTGGTGGGGAGATGGGGGAAGTAGGTGAAGGGGATTGAGTGCACTTGTCGATGAGCATTGGGTGATACATGGAACTGTTGAATCACTACACTGTACACCTGAAATTAATGTAACACTGTGTGTTAACTATACTGGAATTAAGGATAATGAATTAAAAATAAACATGACCACACACTGTTGCCACGCATATGCAAACTCAACGATATATTAATATCATAAAGCATTCAGGCACTATTTAAATTTCCCCAAGTGTTCCATGACTACACTCTTTGCAATTAGTTGATATCTGAGCCTGTATTTTCCTTAAGGTACAAAAGAGAATTTGTTTTATTTTTATGTTTTTAAATTTTATTATTTTTTTAACATTTATTTATTTTTGAGGCAGAGAGAGAGAGAGAGCATGAACAGGGGAAGGTCAGAGGAAGAGGGAGGCATAGAATCTGAAACAGGCTCCAGGCTCTGAGCTGTCAGCACAGAGCCTGATGCGGGGCTCGAACCCACAGACCGCGAGATCATGACCTGAGCCGAAGTCGGACGCTTAACTGACTGAGCCACCCAGGCGCCCCGAGAATTTTTTTTTAAAAGTAAGCTCTACTCCCAAAGTGGGGCTCGAACTCATGGCTCCTAGATCAAGGGTCATCTGTTCTACCGACTGAGCCAGCCAGGCACCCCACAAAAGAGAATATTGATCCTGGTTGCCCTTCTACCTTTTTATTTTCATTTTCTTTTTTTTTTTTAATTTTTTTTTTTATCGTTTTATTTATTTTTGAGACAGAGAGAGACAGAGCATGAACAGTGGAGGGTCGGCGAGAGGGAGACACAGAATCTGAAACAGGCTCCAGGCTCCTAGCTCTCAGCACAGAGCCCGATGCAGGGTTTGAACTCACTGACCGTGAGATCATGACCTGAGCCGAAGTCGGCCGCTTAACCGACTGAGCCACCCAGGCGCCCCTATTTTCATTTTCTTACGGTATTTTCCTGAACGTCTTGTAGAGAATGGGTCCCAATTTCTTTTTATTATATTTGTTATAAGTAGAAACTGGATTGTGTGTATGTTGCCTAGCGTAGCCTTGCCTGTTTGGTCACGTATTAAAGTAATATTTTGTACTAAATTCCTTTTCTCTATACTACTGCTAAGACTAATTATACGTTTTTTGAAATTATGTGTAGGTGGGCATATTCTCTAGGAATTTCACTTCCGGGTAGAAGAAGAACAAAGAATAAAGTTACACAAAGTGGGAACCACTGCCCTGGACAAGCCCCCAAGCACTTTGGAGGTCTGAAGGGGTCATTCTAGCGAGGACCAAAGGCCGTGGCACTGAGCAGCCAAGAAGAATGGAGAATGACACCCAGCTCGCTTCTGTGCCGGTGGGGCCACTGGACCCAGCTTGACGCCACCTCTGGGACAAACTCAGGAAAAGAGGCGTCAGTCTGACCCTGTGTTTTGAGGCAATAAAATACTATCGACCTTTGGATTCTTGGGAAGAGTGGGACGACAGCAAAGTGGGTGCCTGAGTGGGTGAGGGGACCTGAGCTCTCTCCCAGGGTGGGGACAGCTGGGCTGGCACCCCAGGACACTCAGGGGAAACAGTGAGGTCGAGGGGAGATCCCAGACTTCCTGCTAAGGTGGCAGGGGGGACTCTCCAGCTCGGGGAAGCACAAATCCGTTCCCACACGTCTCTAGTTGAGGAGCTCGGCCACCTCTAGCTGCAGCCCTCCCTGGCTGTGTGGTTTCTGAGGGACACAGAACTCTGCGACCGTCCTCAAATACCCAGCTAGTACACCGAGTCCTTCCTCATGGTTGGTTTAAACGGGACTCCGCTTTGAGTTATCTCGTGTCCCTTTTGATGACTAATCTCCCCAGATGTGGGGTCAAAGGAGGGGCTAGTCTCATGGCCTCAGCAAGGACCGCAGTCTATATAGTGGAATATTACTCAGCCACGAAAAGGGTGAGATCTTGCCATTTGTGCCAACGCGGATGGACCTAGAGGGTATTATGCTCACTGAAATAAGACAGAAAAAGACAAACACCGTATGGTTTCACTTATATGTGAAATCTAAAACAAAACAAATAATGAACTAAAAAAACAAACAAAAAGAACCACAGTCCAGGTTGCTGTAAGCCACTGGGATTTTCAAAAGCCTCATCTGTATTCTTCTTACACATCTTAGCAATAATGATCTTTTTTTCATTTTTAAAATGTATATTTATTCAAATGCGATATGCATATAAAATATAAAAATATATTCAAATATGATATACATATAAAAGTTAGCAAATCACATGCACATGTTAAGTTTTCGGAAAATGAACGCACCTGTTTTACCAGCTCCCAGACCAGGAAAAAAGAGTATGACCAGAATTGCCCTTGGACCCCCTCCAGTCACCACCTCACCCAAGATTTTGCCTGTTTTCATAATTTATAGTAAAAAAAGTCTTACGGTCCGCTTCAGGGTATTTTTTTCTCTCTCCACCTGGTGAGACCCACATACTGCTGTGTGTGTGTGTCGGGGGGTGCTATGCAGACCTCCAGTGTGGGAGAAAGCCCTAGAAACTACACTTTTTCTAACAGCGATCTGTTGCTGTTTCACTGGCAGAGGGGAGTGTGGCCGTGGACCTTCTGAAACTGCTCGGGTAAGTGAATGACCGCATGTTTTGGGAAAGAGGAATTAGGCCGTCTTGATTCTCAAAAGGGTTTTGGATCCAGGAATGGCCGAGAAGTAGGTTGAAGATTGTTGGCGGCTTTTGTGTTTTGCGGTCATTCTGTGGATGTGGGCTCCCAGAAGTCCCTGGCCCGTGGGGTCCCCAGCACTGTCAAGTTCCTCAGCCGCACAGGCAGAGGCAGGCCTGCTGGGTCCTCGGCAGCTCGGCCACCTCTTCTGTGCACCAGTGGCCTCCGGTGGCCTGGAGTCCAGCTCCTCGGAAACGTGAAAGCCCTTCAGCTGCGAGGCCCCAAACCCAGCCCTCGGGTCGCGGTTCAAGCCTCCCTCCAGAGGTAGGGAAGTCATTCCCCCGCCACTGGCCGCCTCCCCTTCCTCTGATTCCCTGTCAGCACCCCCGTCGTTTGGGTTCTTTGAAATGTTCCTGGTTAGGCCACCTGCTACAGGCCCCCAGCTCTGTTTGGAGCGGGAAGCTGTGGTCTGTTTCCGTCTCCCTCGTTCGCCAGCCGGTGCAGGACTTCGGCTGCGGGAACGGCGCGCCCCGAACCCCGGCCCTCCCGCTCAGAATTGCCCGGAGACGCAGGCCCCGCCAGGCGCGACCCTCGGGGTTCCCCCAGCGCCCTCCTTCCCGTTTCTGAAAACGAGACGCCAGACGAGTTGCAGGGGGAGAAAATTCTGCTTTATTTTATTTCATTATTTCTGGGGGGGGGGGGGGGGGGGGGGGGCTGCGGAGGGGCGAGGGGCGCGCTGCGCCGCTGTCCCGGCCGTCGGCTCAGCGCTGGGAGAAGGCGGCCTCGGCGTCGCAGGCGGGGTCGGCGCGGCAGCCGTCTGGAAGGACAGCGGGTCAGGGGCCGCCCTGCGCGGTCCCCTCCGGGTCCCAGGTCCTCGGCCTCTGCCCCCCCTCCGCGCCCCCGGCCCCGGCTCACCCGGGCTGCAGCAGACGCCGGCAGCGGCGCATTGGCCCCGGGGGCCACGCCCACTGGGACTTCCGCACCGGCACCACCTGGACTCCGCCCCCGGGGCCGCGCCCACCGGGACCTCCGCACCGCCCCCACCTGGACCCCGGCCCCGCCCCCGCCACCCCCGGGCCGCCCCGGCAGCGCACCGTCGTTGCAGCAGATGCCCGCGGCGGCGCAGCGGCCACCGCTCCCGCACGGCTTGTGGCCCGACTGGCAGGGCGACGGCAGGTAGTTCTCCTCCTGGCAGCGCAGCGCCTCGGCCGTGCCCACGAAGCAGCCCAGCTCGTCGCCGCAGCAGATGCTGGGCCCGAAGCAGCGCCCTTTGCCCCCGGGGCCGCAGGGGAGGCACTGGCGGGAGGGCGGGGGGTGAGCGCGGGCCCTGCGAGGCCGGGGGCCCGGGCTCGGGGTGTGCAGGGGCCGCGGTCACGGGCAGGGGCGCACGTCCACTAAACCCCCTGGGGCCCCGGCGGAGCGGGCAGAGGCGGTGGGTCGCGGCGGGGGCTCACCTGGCGCACGTCGAGGTCCAGCGCGGCCCTCTTGCCGCCCAGGGGGCAGTTCTGGATGTAGCAGGCGGAGGTCAGCGCCAGGAGGCCGAGCAGGCAGCAGGCGAGGCTGGAGCCGGCCATGGTGTGGACACACTGGGTCGGGGGCGGCGGCTGCGGCGGCGACTCTCCCACCGGCCTTTTTATGGCTGGGGCCGCAGCAGGCGGAGCCCTGTCTAAGAGTGCCGCCGTATGACTGGTCACAGCGGGTCACTGCGGGTCAGGCCGTGGGCGCCCGGCGCGCCCCCTCATTTGCAGGGGCCTGGCCCTGTCACGGTCACCGGCTCGGCTAATGGACTGGGGGCAGGGGAGGCAGACAGTGAGGCCGTGCGGGGGAGGGTGGCCTGTGCGGTGACCTAGGGTGGGATAGGGAGTATGGGGGTGCGGCCCAACCAAGGACTGTGTAGCTCGTCTCCCAATACCTGGTGGATGGGTTACAGGGCAGACCCTTGGACCCCGCCAGGCTCCCCATCTGGTCTCTGCCCTGGCCGCAGCACATCCTGTTTCCTCTGTTCCCGAGGTCCCCGATTGCTGAGCCCAAATTTCCAGGAACCCACTTCCACCCTCCCACCAGCACCCGCTTCCCTGCACCTGGAACTTGCATAGGGAAAGGGCTTTATTTTCTCTAACTTCTAACCGAAATTTAGCCTTTGCTTCAACCATGAGGTGGGCAAAGAACCAGTGGGATTTGCAACGCATGTGGCTTTGTCACAAATCAAAAATGTGACAGATATTCTCCTATCACATTACAGCTATTGCAGATGTCTCCAAACATTGTTTAGACTCATCATCACTTTGAAATTATGGCAGTTACTGGACGTTATCTAATGCTGCATTTATGTATTTATATTTTTAATATATATTTTAAGTTTTTTATATCTAATGCTTTAAATAAGCATTGTGACTGTATCACAAATTTGTTTTAACATTTTGATATCTGAATATAAATATACTTGGTTTCTTTTGTAATCCTATGTCTTTTGTTTTATGCATTTAAAGAGTGCTTTTTTTTTTTTTGCATTTTTAATATATCTTAAAATGAAAATAATTACAGATAAAGACAGACCGCCACAGTGGAAGGGATGTTGGTCAATGTCATGAACAAGGAGATGCTCAGAACCAATCCTTCTAGAAGGGACCTGCGGGGGGTGGGGACCTGGGTGGCTGAGTTGGTTAAGAGAAGGACTTTTGATTTTGGCTCAGGTCATGATCTCACGGATCATGAGTTCAAGCCCTGCCTCAGGTTCTACGCTGACAGTGGGAGCTTGCTTGGGAGTCTCTTTCCCTCTCTCTGCCCCTCCCCTGCTCATGCTCTCTCTCTCAAAATAAATAAATAAACTTAAAAATAAATAGAAAGGACCTGCTGGGGCACCTGGCTGGCTCAGGCTAATGAGCATGCAATTCTTGATATCAGGGTGGTGAGTTTGAGCCCCACGTTGGGTGTAGAGACTACATATATATATATATATATATATATATATATATTATAAAAAAAAAAAAAAGAAGGGAATTGGGGGCGCCTGAGTGGCTCAGTCGGTTGAACGTCTGACTTTTGATTTCCTCTCAGGTCATGATCTCTCGGTTTGTGAGTTTGAGCCCCATATGGGGCTCTAAGCCTGCTTGGGATTCTCTCTCTCTCTCTCTGCCCCCATCCCAATCACTCTCTCTCTCTCTCTCTCTCTCTCAAGATAAATAAATAAACATTTAAAAAAAAGAAGAAGGGACTTGCCACCCAGCTGCTGGGAGTGTGGTCAGCAGACAGCCTTTGGTGGCCACCCATCCAGGGCCTGTCTCAGCTGCAGAGAGCTGCCTGGCCCAAGGTCACACCCTTCCCTGGTGGCCCATATCCAATAACTGGTCCATTGTGGCCGAATGCCGGGCAACTATGAAGGACTATTTCGGTTCCGTACCTCTCCATAAGGTCAACTGAGGCCTGCATACAAGTTCTCCCTCTACCTAATCCTGTTTCGACCCCTTCCCTCCCACGGGTGTGGGTCCTGAGGGCCCCTGGTAACGAACACCCAGCATGTTGGACGCCATCTCAGAGGGCTCCCTGGGAAGCCCAACTTGCCACTGCACAGAGGAAATGCCAGTGTCAGAGCAGACTCAGTGGGCTCAGGCTCTACACGTAGGCTAGGATGGCCCCAGCCGCTCCGTCACTCTTGTGGACCCTCCTCAAAAAGGGTGCTGAGGCTGCTGGGGCTGCGCGGGTCACAGCGCCCAGCTGGCCCCGAGACACTTGTGTCAGCTGCCTGGCATGAGGAGCTGGTCAGGCCGACCTCATTACAGTCAGCGGCCAGTCCTGTTTCTCACCCAAATCAGCCCATCGGTATTGCCGGGCTAGAAGGCCAAGGGCTTGACCCTGGAGGCAGCCCCAGAAGGGCCTCCTGCCTGTCCTTTGGGCACCCTGACCTCACCAAAGTTAACACATGCACATAAACTGCCCTCGCATAAAGGCTCCCCAGGGCTGGCATTCCTTCAGCTCATCAAGGCCTCCTCCTCCGAAGATGCACGGGGTCCCACTGCAGATGCCTGAAACACTGGCAAACCAAATGGACAAAACTCCCCGCTCTCAGGGGCTTATATTCCAGCAGGGGAGGGGAGGCATTAAATAATAACCCTATTTCAGCAGGTTAGGAGGTAGCGAGTGCAGTAGAGAAAAAGGGGGGGGCATGTTGCAATTTTTCTCAGGGTGCTCAGTCCAGGCCTCTTTGTGAAGGTAACAGCAGACACTTGGGCATAAGGAAAGAAGGAAGCCACGTGGCTATCTGAAAGGTGGCCCTGTTTTCTATGGTTACATAACAAATTACCACAGATTTGCCAGCTTAAAGCAGCACCCACTTATTTCCCACCCCCGCCCCCCATCCCCAGTTTCTGTGGGTCTGGGCATGGCTCAGCTGGCTTCTCTGTTCAGGGTCTCCACAGGGGTCATGTCAAGATGGCAGCCAGGCTGCATTCCATCCCGGAGCCTGGGAGATTGTTGGCAGAATTCATTTGCTTGCAGCTGTAGAACTCATGGCTTGCTTCTCCAAGGCCAGAAACAGAGGGAGAGATCGCTCTCTCTTTGGTGCTTCCAGTCTCTGAGCATAGGGAAAGTTCTTTTAAAAGGATCGCCTGATTAGGCCAGACCCACCAGGATCTACATTTTTATTATCCTTTTTCTTTTAAATGTTTACTTATTTATTTAAAAAATTTAACATTTATGGGGCGCCTGGGTGGGTCAGTCTGTTAAGCGGCTGACTTCGGCTCAGGTCATGATATCACGGTTCGTGAGTTTGAGCCCCGCATCGGGCTCTGTGCTGACAGCTCAGAGCCTGGAGCCTTCTTTAGATTCTGTGTCTCCATCTCTCTCTACCCCTCCCCCCTGCTCATGCTCTGTCTGTCTCTCTCTTTCTCAATAATAAATAAATGTTATAATGGCACAAGAACAGACACTCAGATCAGTGGAACAGAATAGAGAACCCAGAAATGGACCCACAAATGTATGGCCAACTAATCTTTGACAAAGCAGGAAAGAATATCCAATGGAATAAAGACAGTCTCTTCAGCAAGTGGTGCTGGGAAAACTGGACAACGACATGCAGAAGAATGAATCTGGACCACTTTCTTACACCCTACACAAAAATAAACTCAAAATGGATGAAAGACCTAAATATAAGACAGGAAGCCATCAAAATCCTCCAGGAGAAAGCAGGCAAAAACCTCTTTGATCTTGGCCACAGCAACTTCTTACTCAACACGTCTCTGGAGGCAAGGGAAACAAAAGCAAAAATGAACTGCTGGGACCTCATCAAAATAAAAAGCTTCTGCACAGCGAAGGAAACAGTCAGCAAAACTAAAAGGCAACCGACAGAATGGGAGAAGATATTTGCAAATGACATATCAGATAAAGGGTTAGTATCCAAAATCTATAAAGAACTTATCAAACTCAACACCCAAAAAAGAAAGAATCCAGTGAAGAAATGGGCAAAAAACATGAATAGACACTTCTCCAAAGAAGACATCCAGATGGCCAACCGACACATGAAAAAATGCTCAACATCACTCCTCATCAGGGAAATACAAATCAAAACAACAATGAGATACAAACTCACACCTGTCAAAATGCTAGCATTAACAACTCAGGCAACAACAGATGTTGGCGAGGATGTGGAGAAAGAGGACCTCTTTTGCACTGCTGGTGGGAATGCAAACTGGTGCAGCCACTCTGGAAAACAGTATGGAGATTCCTCAAAAAATTAAAAATAGAACTACCCTACGACCCAGCAATTGCACTGCTAGGCATTTATCCAAGGGATACAGGTGTGCTGTTTCGAAGGGACACATGCACCCCCATGTTTACAGCAGCACTATCAACAATGGCCAAAGTATGGAAAGAGCCCAAATGTCCATCGATGGATGAATGGATAAAGAAGATGTGGTATATATATACAATGGAGTATTACTCGGCAATCAAAAAGAATGAAATCTTGCCGTTTGCAGCTACGTGGATGGAACTAGAGGATATTATGCTAAGCAAAATTAATCAGTCATAGAAAGACAAATATATGACTTTACTCATATGAGGAATTTAAGATACAAAACAGATGAACATAAGGGAAGGGAAACAAGAATCATATAAAAACAGGGCAAAACATAAGAGACTCTTAAATATGGAGAACAAACAGAGGGTTACGGGAGGGGTTGTGGGAGGGGGGATGGGCTACATGGGTAAAGGGCACCAAGGAATCTAATCCTGAAATCATTGTTGCACTATATGCTAATTTGGATGTAAATTTGAAAAAATAAAAAATAAAACAAATTAAACAACTAAAATATATAAAAATAAAAAAAACGTTATAAATAGAAAAAAGTATTTAAAAATTTAACATTTATTCATTTTTGAGAGACAGAGTGTGAGTGGGGGAGGACAGAGAGAGAGAGAGAAAGAGAGAGAGAGTGCAAGTGGGGAAGGGACACAGAGAAAGGGAGAGAGAGAATCCCAAGAATCTGTCAGCACAGAGCCCAACATGGGGCTTGAACTCACGAACTGCGAGATCATAACCTGAGCTGAAGTCAGATGTTTAACCTATCGAGCCACCCAGGCACCCCTCTTTTCCTTTTTTTTTTTTTCTGTTATTGTTCTTTTTCTTTTTTTCTTAAAATATTTTTAATTGAAAGGTGCCTGGGTGGCTCAGTCAG